AGTTGCAATAATACAAATTACTAAAAATAAATGGCCAAGGTAAAAAACAGTCTTGATACTTGAAATTAATATTTTCTAAAAACATTTTGCTTTCAACTTTGTTTAGAATGACAATACAGGCTCAACGTTTAAAGACAATACAACTGTTATTCACTGTATGCACACAGTATCATAATGCAAAAAATATTGTAAAACATTTAGTTTTGTAAGACCCAAAAATTGTAGTACTTATCAAGAAGTATCTTATATAACCAAAACCAATATAGAGTACTAGCTTTCGCTCGCGACTCCGTCCACGTAGAATGAAAAAAAAGGGAGTAGCCTGCGTGTTCTTCCATACTATCTTCTACATCTATGCCAAATTTCATAGCGATCCGTTCAGTTAAGGCTACAAACTCTAACAAACATCCATCCATCCAAACTTTCGCATTTATAATATTAGTATGATTTAAAAGTAGAAGTTATTTTGAATATCACATTACTTTTCAACAAATATTAGATTTTTAGATAGAATTTTTAGATATTTAAGACACTAAAAAGTTCTTGTGCGTGAGATTTTAAACACATAGCAACACTAAACGTATTGTCAATAGATCGATAACTTATAAATAACATGGCTAATTTAAAAGAAATCCTGAAGGTTGAAACGGCAATTAAAACTACCGATCACGTTTAATATACGAGTAAGATAAAGAAACCGGTGAACAAGAATAAATATGTTCAATAGTCGAAATAAATATGGCGGATGATTTGTGGCGGTATTGACATTGGCGTCGCGGGCGCGGGCGCGGGCTTGGCCGCCATCTTGTTTGCTAATTGCCGGTTTGTGTCATTAAATCAGTCACGCGTCGGAAAACAGACGGATGTGCGATTCTCGATCGTTTGTTTGATCGATATTTCTTGTTAATTCATTTTTTTCTATTCGATTGCGTCACTATCGACAAACAAATGGCATCCATTGTTCATTGCTGGTATTTTTTTTGTCGTAATCTTACAACAGAGTTTCACTACGGATGAGAAACGTAATCAATAAAGTGATCTGGACATTGATTCAGAGTTTTCATTAATCAAAATCTAACTTAATATATCTTTTACAGAAATGTTTGTTGTCATCGAGCCAGTGGAAATTGTTAAACAAGCAAATGCTGAGAACACGCATTGTTGGTAAGCACAAAACTTGTTGACTGTTTGGTATCTAGTGCATAAGAATTAGAAACATTAACGTGACACATATTTATAAGCATAACAGTTCACAAGTTAAATAATCGAAGTTGACAAACTATGAAGTCTTACAATAGAGAAAGTTGATATGAGCATAAAAAGGACAATCTTCCAATATTTTAAATATTATTGCGTTCGACTTAAAGCCTTATCTTAATTAATTCGTCTTAATATAAATGTCCTGGCATATAATACAAAGGTAGGTTAGTTTCGATTAAATTAAGAAACAAGAGTAGGTGTTTAAAGGCTTGTCATAGCGTCAGTCTTGAATTGCTACAGAAGATCGAAACATTCAAACTTCCAGCATATCATTGTAGCAAAAGGATCAAGAATGTTTAGACATTGTACACAAATAATAACATCCTAAACAAATTATTTATTTATATTTTTTTGTAAAATAAAGGAAGGAGTGTTTATTGTGTAAATTATAACTCGTTGAAATAAGAAATTCGTGCGTGAAATTTCTTTTATTAAATTTAACAATTTTAAATATACAAAATAGAATTATTTACAAGCTTTTTAACAAAATTGTAATGCTCCATATTACGCACAAGTAAAAGAAAATTTTGCAACTTAATTAAAAGTAATAACAACTAAAAGTAACCTATTGACATGAAAGTTGTGGGAATTCCACAAGGATCACTTTCAGGTCCTTTTCTATTACGTATCAAAAATTACAAAAAACATACATTGTTACACATATAAAAATAACAAAATAATGCATTTGCATTTTGTAATAAGTTTACGAATGAAACTATTATAGAAGTATGTAAATAACACTAAGAATAACATCAATAAAAACATATTTTATTATGTAATAATCTGTCATTGAAAATAACTAATGAAGTAAGAATAATAGACATCAAAATGACTCAATCACACATTCCACGGTAATGTAACAAAAATTTTGCAGACATACAGACCGACACAACCTGCCTGTAATCTCGGAAACCTTGAACGTTGGAAACACAAAAAAGTGCCGAAAGATTCTAACAACCCGATATTATATCGATCTATTATGAATTATATTTTTACGATCAGTTCGCGGGATATAAAAGCCATAAATGTAATTACTTGTATTAACGAATATAGAGACATAATCAATTTACTAAATCAAACATATAAAATATGATCAAAGACGGTCGACTATCGTTTATTATAATTTACGTATTTGAATTAGTTCGTTTTTGAATTAACTTTATGGTTATGTGTTTCGTATCGACAGTTTTAATATCGGAGTCACGAAACCGCCGGCGACTTGAGCTTGCATAAATATGCTAATTAATTGTTTATTAAAAAAATCAACTAATTAGATGAAAAATAATAAAATAAATTTATAGTAATATAATAAATTGGGAATAATGATTAATAAATAAACAGATATAATGATGCATTTTTAGATATTTGAACGAACATAGAGCATTGTATAAAATGGAGATATGCTGAACAAAATAACATATGTCCATAATTCCCATGCTGTAGGTTATTATTAAGAAATACTGGTTTATTAGGTAGAATAAAACGAGATACACAAATAATGTAAAACAAATTTAATCTTACTTCTTACTAATATTATAAATGCGATAGTTTAGATGGTTGGATGGATGGATGGATGTTTGTTAGCGTTTGTAGCCTAAACGACTGAATGGATCTCCATGAAACTTGGCACAGGTTTAGAGCATAGTCTGGAAGAACACATAGGCTACTTTTTATCCCAGGATAAGTTACGGTTCCCGTAGGATTCATTGATTTAGTTTTTTAATGTTTACTCGATCATTCTGCAACGGTTCAACATATCTTATTGAAATTTGGCACAGATATAAAACAAAGTCTGGAGTATACGTGAGATAAGCTTCGCCCCCGAGGTGTCCGGTTCCCGAGGGATACGTAGCTTTTTGTTATTTATATAGTTCGTATGTTTTCTAATACCACGCGGACGAAGTCGCGGGCAAAAGCTCGTTTTTAAATACATACGAAATTACTGTTACTAGAATATTTTACAAAATTAAGGGCATTGCAACGACTTTTCTTAGATCTCTATATTTCGTAGTTTATGTTTACTTATGTTACCGTTTAATTGTGAACTTCGTCTATTCAATATCAAACAAGGCATTTATAAAATAAATTAATTATTGTTGGTAACGTCAAAAAGTAATCCAATTTTTTTAACCAAATTATTATTAGATGCGTTTTTAATTTTTAGCAACATTTAATGTATATTTTATGAAATGATAACGGATTTACGAATTTAGCCTCCGAATGTATTCAAATTTAATGAAAATTATTCTATTAATTGGTTCGTTCGTATTCAAAAGTCCAGTTTTTCCGTAAGAAAGTATCGTTTGGAATCTTTTACATAATAATCAAACGCTTATTTGTGAAGAGAATGGGTAATAATTATAATTCTATGGTAGTTAAAATATATTTATGGTTTCCGAATGACAGGGAAAAAAATCTGAACGTGTTTTGTTAAATAAAGTAATTAATCGACTTATAATGTCTAGATTAGTAACAGAAGAGATAAACCTAGAAATACACTTTGACTTAAAACTTAAATAAAGTTGTTTCTTTATTTTAATTTTGAATAACTTAAGCACTAATATGAGAAAAAGGGTTTGTGTAAAAAATATTTACATATAAGTTAAATCTGCAACAGATATATATACTTTAGTGATAGCTCGATATTATTAATTTACCTATCGTCCACAACAATCAATTATAATTGAACAGTTAAAAATGTTGTAGGCAAAACTTTAACAATACAATTCAACTGACAATTAAGATTTTGCCTAGACACAACGTTTCAATTGAACTGTAAGGCATTTTAATATGTTTAATATTTAAAGGCTATAAAATGTCATTGACCCCTAATTATTTATTTGTTAAGAAAAAGAATTATTTAAAAATTTCTTATGTTAAATCCTATTATCAAACTATTGCTTTTGGATTATCGCAAAAAAAATTAAAGCTTGTAATCAACCCTTATCGTTTGTATTTACTATAACTGTCTCGCTCTCGCGGCCCCTCGCGCCCCTCCCCCTCCCCTTCTATGGCCCGTCGACTGCACACAACTAAAGATGGCGGATTGGCAAAAAATATGCTATGTGTTAACATGCATTAACATTGTACAACGTGCAAAGTAAACTATAGTTAATTTTAACTCTAACATTTGTAAACTTAACGACAAAATACCAATTGTTTTTTTAAATAAAACGATTCGTAAGCCTTATTCATATTTAATTTAATTCCATATCTAGTTAAACATTTTTGTTTTATTTTAAAACATTTTATAAGCTTTAAAAAAATATCTTTGAGTACAATAATTTAATACTAGTATTTGTGTAGCCACATATATTTGTTTAAAATTGTAATAAAAAGTACAGCAAAACTGTCTAAATTTTGCATACTATGTGTTCATTGTAGCCTCTGTATAAAGTCTTATATCTCTAAGAAATAAATTTAATCTGTAAGAAAAAAAAAACATCTGTAAAAGATTAATTTAAATAAATGAATTTTCGCGTTTAAAGTTAGAATTTTGAAGTTTGTTGTTCAGTGGTAGCAAAACACGTGGCGCAGCACCGGCGCCCGCCGTCGCCGCGCAAACACTGAATTACAGGCAACTTTCAGCAATAAAACTCCCACATTCACATACTTTTATTAAATTTCATAAACTTTTACAACTTGTATTAAAGTTTTTGAATCGTTTTAACATTTAAATATCTGAGGTAGAGACGTAGAGATGTATGGAAGTTGAGCGCCGCGTTGATGTTTGTTCATACCTCAATGTTTGAAGAGAGCTCGATATGTGGACAGGCGAATGCACACAGTTCCACCTGTCACTCGCACCTAAGCAAGCAACGCTCGTCTCAAGTATCCTTTGTTTTTCGACTATTTGTTTATGACATACATGGAAAGAATTCTGGAATTCTAGAATTTCACTTTTGTTCTTACATCCACGGCACGTATGGTGTTATAGAAAACTTTATAATAATGCAATATGCACAAAGGGTCACATCACTGGCACTCGTCAACGGTCACTAAGTTTGGCGGGAGCGCGCGTCGTATCGCGTTATGTAGCAAAGGATCGCGAGCGCGCGTGCGGTGTGGGCGCGCACCGCGGCCGGAATGCCGCGCTCGCTCCACCGCCAATGCGACACACTAGCGCCAAGCGGACAATTGCAACAACACAAACATTGTTTTTGCAACGCCTTGCTTTGAATATTGCACTTGTCACACCTTGTTTTGATTGGTAATTTCGAAAAGCTTATTTTATAATTCACTTAACATTAAATTAGAAGTTTGTGTACTTATACGATAATTAAAAGCTGACAAACAAAAGCAAACTTAAAATATATATTTAGACATAAACTCGTTGTCTAGTTCACATCAAAACATTTATGTGATTTCCTCATACTATTTAATCATTAAACAATATTTCATAGTTTATTAATCCTTCATAAAATGGTGAATTAAAAAATTTCTAGTTTCACTTCTATTTCAATAATGAGCATAGGTATATATGTCTAAGAAAAACCTAAGGTCTTCATCAGTCAGCAACCCTTTATGAAAAAGAATAAGCCATAGTGGTAAAACAGCGAGTGAAATCAAAACAGTGTTTGCGACGTGACCTTGCATCGGCGTGCACTCGCTGCGTCTCGCTCTGGCGCGGCGGGCGGGGCGCGGGGGCGGGGCCGTGCGCGCTCGCCCCGCCCCCCGCGCGCCGCGCCCCGCCCACCGCACACACCCGCTGCGTTTTCCCGCGCAACTCACTTTCGTTACGACCAGTGGTTGTGCCTACGCTTTGTTGCTCGCTTCTTTATTCCTAAGTCACCATTGTAGCGAAATGCCTTATTTATTCTTTAGCGGGGAGCGGAGCTCCGCGCCGTGCGCCCGCTACGTAATGTTCTTCTGCGAATAATTACACAGCCTGTGTCTGTATTTGACTTAACTTCACGTATGTTTTAATAGAAATAAATAAGAATGTTTATATTTGTTTATGTTGTAAAAGTTCGCTTTAACTTTTTTTAGGCTAACTTCGCCAGTATTTGACATTTTTTAAATGTTTGGCATATTCCCTTTTAAATTTTAGTAGAGGTTTCTTTTATTGTTTATATTTTTTCTCTAGAGTCACTGTCATTTAATACTAATTATGTACCATCCTAATGTACCTAGTTAGCTACCTAATTAGGTAATAAATGCAAGAAGCCGGTATGAATCATAACGAATTTTGACTCACAGATCCTGTCGCTACAATTTTAAAGCCGTAACTTTAATACTTTTTTACCAATATACTCGTAATTTAATTCGGCCGTGTACGGGAGCGAGGCTGTCCAAGCAGTTTAACGAGCGGCCGCGTTTACGAGCGAGGAATCGAACTAACTGTTGATGAGCTACATTTTTATAGTTCTTCATAATAACACGTCTTCCATATATAAACACGTTACATTCGTGGTATTTGCAAATAAAAGCTGTCCGCTTATAATTCTAATTACCTATGTAATTATGCAAACGAGCAGCGGGAACACAGAGGTGGTCAACCCCGTCCAGATATCCGCAACACCAGAGGAACTACAGATTGCCGGCATTTGAGGAAATTGTAGGCTCTCTTCTTGAAGGGCCCTAAGTCGTATTGGTTTGGAAATACCGATAGCGCAGACCGCTCCACAAAGGTTAATTATAAATACAAGACGTACAAGAACAAAGTTTGTATGGATAGTGTGAAAGAAGATATGCGGATAGGAGTGGATTCAGATACAGCTGATAGAGATGTATGGGAGAGAAGCACATACTGTGCCGACCCTCCGAAGGGACAGGGACCAATCCGGTAATAATAACGAAGTAACTCCTGAGGGAGCCCTCGAGCCTAGTTACTCATAAAAGAAGTTTAGGCTAAGCGCCATCTGCTCGGCCACCTCAAGCCCGGTGAATCTGTAAATGCCTCTTCAAGGCAAACAGTGGCCATTCAGTCACAAAAAAAAAAAGAAGGGACAGGGACAGGTTGATAAAGATGAGATAATAGGAGCCGAATGAAATGTAACAAAAGCCACGTTTCATACTAAAAAAAGTGTGGAGAAACTTTTTACCTTTAACATTTTAAAAAATCTGTTTAATTTACAAACAGGACCGTACTCTAAAATTTAATTGGACATTTTTATCAATAAAACGTGTACTATCTCCATAATTATTTTTCTCAATTTATTTATTAAAAAAAAATCGATAAATACCATCAAGTTATTTGGTAGAATTCACAAATTTACTATCTGATAAGATATAATTAAGTCGTTAAGTGAACAATGTAGGTGACGCCTTCGCAGGTCACGTCGCAGGACGATGACCTCTACAAGGTCAGATATCTGCAATAAACCGTCTTAATTAGCTATTTAGATAATTGATCTTGCATGAAACATTATATAAAATAGAACTTGTAAATAATTTTGAACGAAATCTCAACGCATTAATTAAAGATCTTAAAACTAGCTTTCACCTACGACTCCGTCCTCGTAGAATTATTAAAAACAAAAGTGAGGTGTCTAAGTTTTCTTGAATATTATCCTCTTTATCTATGCCAAATTTCATCAAGATCCGTTCGACACTTTAGGGTAGGCACATACTCTAACAAATATCCGTATGTAAACTTAATATTAGTACAAGACATTTTGTGTTTAAAACTTAAATAATAATATTTTAGTTTTTAAATGAAAATTAGATATATATTGGCTAAAATATAAATCAACACATTTTCGACATGCGACTTAACTAAACGATTACTAAACCCAAAAGCATGCAAAATTAAATGCACACGTCACGGTGTCCATTAAAATTTCCGATGTTCATTATCGTTCCATAATTATACATCTCAACACAACCTTCTCAGTCGACGGCTGACAATAAAATGACATTTTTATTCGTGCGCAGGCGCAGGCCCGCGGCCCAAACACTATCTCCTTTATTATGACCATAAAGTATTTGGGCCTTTTTTCAGATCCGACGCAATACATTGGCCGAAATCTGCAGCCGAACAGGTGGACAATTTTCTTTTTAAGTGTTCTTAGGAAGTAAGAAAGTCCATCGACTATGCTAAGGCGATATCTGTTTTAGCCAGACAGTGCAGATGTCTAGTTACAATATTAATGTATCATAAACCCATTAAATCAATTAACCTAATTTACAGATCAGGTCGAATGAGAAGAACGGTGCGCGGGCGCATAACCGCTGCGCGTCTCCCTGTGTAATTTGGCGCCATAAAGCGGCCGCGCGTGATGACAGATCCATCATGGCGGCTGCGAAAATTACCCATTTTACGATCTAAAATTGCACAAAAACCAAACCGCGATGCAACTTATTAATCCAATCAACGACTTTACTGCATCGTAATAAGGATTATTGGTTATTTTGAAGTTGTAAAATCGTCATCATTTTGAAGTCACGTCTGCAAGAGGAATGACTGATTACGAACAGCATTGTTTTGTTTGTTTGTCCGCTTGTGACAGGACGTGTCAGTTGGCTAGTGAGGCTACGGAGGACACATGACCTTCTTGACCTTGAAACATATGCCATGGTAGTTAATCTTTTATAAGCAAATTAAAGCGTGCTTGTTAACACCATCATAGTATACGTTGTTATTAAGAATTCGTTCAATCATATGAAGTTGAATACGACTTCAAAATTAACTTAAGTACTTTTAGACAACGTATTTAATTGATTCTGTCGCTTTAAACTCAGAACAACACTTCTCGTCCAGACCCAAGTTGCGCGCCAATCTATCCATACTTCCAGTCACATTGACAGCTGTCAGCTAGGAACGTGACGTTTATGCCGATAATCTAGAGTTGCGCCAATTCTATAGCACGGTACTAATTTTATTCCTAACAGTACTAAGTAAAGTTTGAGTCCACCATAAAATTACCTGGATTAAAGTTGACAGTCGCAAATATTATTTGATTCGAATAAAGAAGTTAGTTACTATAATTTTATTTTGTACTTTACAGCAGTAAGCAGTTATTTTGATTGACACATTATAGTTTTCAAAATACAATTTGTTGTTCAAATATGAACATAGTCATCGCAATTTTAAAGATGTTACCGTAATTATAATTCACTTGGCCATGTTATGCAAATGGTATAGAGTAGTTATAAACAGAGGGTTCAAGATAAACCATCGCTATTCTCTACCGTAATTAGTAATTCAGTCATTCGCAGACCAAAATTAGTGCAGGAATCCGCAACCGCAACGGAATAATCTCAAACTTTTTTTTGGAAAAAAACGTACTATTCATAAAAAATTACATAGCGATTATACAGTGGAACACAGTGACAGAATCGGTGACAAATCAACTATGTACCCTAATCGTTTGAACATCTACTCTACACGCGACAAATGCACAAGTGAAGTTTGAAAAGCACAATACAAGACGTCAATGTGCAGTCACAGTTTGCGTGCGTATTTACTATCTGTGGGGGAAGGTTGCGGGGGTAATTAAAGCAAGCGCTGGTCGCGAGCATCCGACGGCACTTCCTCCCGCAAGTTGGCCTTTACCACGGCCTACAGACATTGCAGGTGTTACCTGAGGTCTGAGGAAACGCCTCTGACAGCTCTACCGGACTGTTGTTCTATATTGTGACGTCATTTACGATTAAGCAAAGTTACACTTGTGTAACAAAGTTATGACTTATTCACATTTGTATTGTGATTGGTGTGCATAATAGATCTATTATTATTTGCCTATTTATCTAAGTAAATAGACTAGATTTGAAATAAAATGTTTTTATCTTGTTTTGAACTCGACAATATATCTCAGGGCTCGAAGGCTTCAGTAACAATACGAGCGCTGTAAACCGGTGATACTAAACATGCGTTACCAGTACGAATTACTTCGTTTTTATAAGCTTTGTTTCGGAATCCAAAATTGTTTTGTCGTAAATTTGATTTGAAATAACATAATTCGAAGTAGTGTTCTTTCCAATTGTGTCTCAGGTTGTCTGACGCAAAAGTACTAAAATACAATGAGAATTCTAAATTGTTAAATGACTGAATCTTTTTAATTTATACATAACATTTATTTAGAATTTATATCGGAACAGTAGAGTCCGCGTCGCTGGAGGCGAGGCGCTCGA